CGTAACAATATTTATCCTACTAATAAAATAACACTCCCCATGTTACAACAACAATTGTTATGGTGTAAACTAGACTAAGGCCACTTTTTAGAAATTGTGGGAGATGTTGGGGGAATTAGGTGCAACTATGTTTTTCTGAATGAAAAAGAAAATGTGCTCAATTCAGAAAGCTAGGTTGCCAAATTTTGTACGTAGTAGTTTGGCCGCCATTTTCCGGATTTTTGGTTATTGTATAAATATATCAATCCTAGCATTTTTTGTCATTTTGTAGCCACTTATACAAGAATTAATATAAATTAAAAAATTCAAACACATTTAATAAATAAAAAGCTATTCATTTTTTTTCCCATTTCCTTATGAATTCATTAAGTTCACAACACAAAGGTTGAAAGCGGGTTGTTTCCGATGTCGAAATTCCCCAACCTGATGAAATGTTTTGTCCCAGGTTTAAGGAGAGTAATGAACACCAATTCTGTCGAACAAATGAATCAGGTGGACTGTTGCCTTCTGTCCCGAGCCAGCTACAGCAGTCCACCTGATTCGTTTATTCTCCGGAAACGGAGTGTCCAGTCTTCCTTGACCATGAAGCTTTGTCGCATATTTATGATGCATGCTTTTTACTATTTTCTATTATTTTAATTTCTTTTTTCTTTGTGAGGTTGACCTGTCAGAAGTGCTGCGGCTTGAGCTTTTCACAGTACCATTGTAAAGAGGCTCGTTAAGAGCTGGACAGAAATTCGTGCTGGTGGATGACTTGATTGTAGGTGTTGCTTGCCCTGAAAATATTGATCTCGCTAAAAAGCAAGCATGTCTAGTCGTCGATGGATAAGCCCTTATTAAAGTCCCTTGGACTGCAAAGACGTTTGGAGATCTTATCCAGGACTTCATTTCATAAGTTCTAAACTATGGTCGAGCATACAAAAGAATTGATGTTGTATTAAATCGATATGACACTACTTCCATAAGGATTGAAACCACACAGCACTGAGAAAAACGCACCAAGCCAGTAGTTGAGTGATAGAATATGCAAATTGGGAGAAATGTATGACATTATCTGGCAAGACAGACCTGGGGAAATCTTTATCTTTGGAGTTAATTATAAAAGCATCAAGAAACATGGACGTTGTGGTAGCATGAGCACTTGTAGACCCATTATAAGTGAAATCATTGAAACAAATTGGATGTAACACCTTTGCAGTCTTCCCATCAGGTGGCGACACACGAATCGTCCTATATGCAATTAACGCTTCTTATGATACAGTTGTGATTTCTCGCAGAGACACAGATGACTTGGTACTTTTACTGGCACATCTGCCTACACTGACTTCCAAACTGCTTTGGATAAGATCAGAAACACGCGCAAAGAGAAAGTACATAAACATTGAGGAAATCCACAAACACCACTGGATTATGAGGCTGCATTATTACATTTTCATGCTGTGACACACGAAGATTTCATAAGGGAAAGTGTATATTAACCATCACAGCCTGTCGAAGGGTTTAAGCGAAAGTGGTGTAACTCCAGAAAACTAGATGATGAGAAATTCGTATATTACCTGTACAATCAAGGCAATGCAGTATCCCATCAATCAGACAAACAAACCAGAATACATGCCACCCACACACGGTGCAACAACATATAAAAAAAGAGTTCATTTATTAGAGCATGGTGTGGAAGTAATCTAATACACTAATTCCTGCAATTTCAATCCCTGAACACATGGTATGAACCCTTATAAACAAAAAACTGAAATCAATGCTAATGTCAAATGATACTATCCCAAAGTCATACAGAGATATGTTTTGCAGACGAAAAAAAACAACAGAAAACAAAGGTGCAAAAACAACGTTGTGTGTAATAATGGTTGGAGACGGCTTGAATGGGTAATGAAGAAAAACTTTAATATAAGTTTAACATAACAGCAAATGTACAACGTTTCGACAAGGTTTTGTCATCATCAGGTACCAAATCCATTCAAGCCGTCTCCATCCATTATTAGTCTCAAAGTGGGTTCCTCGTCATCGAACGTTGTGTGTACTTCGACCTGCAATTGTAGCCAAGTAGCTATGGTATGTGTAAACATATCAATGGACTAAATCAATTGTGTTGATCAATTTTTTAGCTGTTCAAGAAATTAATAGTATATAACTTGTTGTGGAATTTATAAAGATGGAAAATAAAACTCTTTTAAAACTAGAATGGTGATCATGTCTTATTTTTTAGTAAATAAAGAGATACATTCGAAATTTGAGTTTTTGGTAAACATTTAAAATTCATGCATATTTTGAAGGGGATAACAGCGTGTTTTAAGAATTTTATGGGCCACAACTTTTGTAATAACATAAACTGACTCATGTTTGCTCAAAAATGTGGAAAACGAAACATGGTTGCCATTTTTTCAACTGCCCTAAATTGTTGCAGACAACTAAACACCATTATGATTTACATGTGAATATTCTATCAGTTTTCGTGAAATATTCCCATGGGCTGGCAATAATCTGTGGACCAGCGGTTGGGAAACACTGTTGTAAAACATTATAACTAAACTGAATCAATGTTAAAAGGTTTGCTTGCTTGCTTGTCATGTTTACATGCCGGGCTTTGAACAAAATAAAGACTGGATACAATGAAAGCACAAATGAACAATCTTCATTATTTACACAACCAAACACAGTGTGTATGCTTGCTTGTTTTATGATGAACAGTAGCTTTAACTGGATGTGAGATAACTTCTATTAGACTGACAAAGTCGAGACAGGTGTGACGCAAGAGGATGTGAAAGATAGAAATTATTGGAAAAGGACCACCTGAGCAACCAACCTCAAAAATAGATG